ATTCCAAAACATGCATCCTGGTTTTTTTATTTAACCAGGCAAGTAAGTTATGAACAAATTCTTGTTTACAATGATGGCCTACCCCGGCCTCCCCTAACGACGCTGGGCCACTTGTGTGCCGCCCTATGGGACTCCCGATCACGGCCAGTTGTGATACAGCCCGGGATCGAACCAGGGTCTGTAGTGACGCCTCTAGCACTGAGATGCAGTGCCTTAGACCGCTGCGCCACAAGGCACTAAAGTAATACTGTAAAAAATGTGGCAAAGCAATTCACTTTTTGCCCTGAATAGAAAGTGTTATGTTTGGGGAAAATACAATACAACACATTACTGAGTACTTCTCTCCATATTTTCAAGCATAGTGGTGGCTGCATCATGTAATGGGTATGCTTGTAATAGTTAAGGACTGGGGAGTTTTTCAGGATAAAAAAATTAACAGAATAGAGCTAAGCAAAGGCAACATCCTAGAGGAAAACCTGGTTCCGTCTGATTTCCACCAGACACTGGGAGATGAATTCACCTTTCAGCAGGACAATAACCTAAAACACAAGGCCAAATATACACTGGAGTTGCTTACCAAGATGACATTGAATGTTCCTGAGTGACCTAATTACAGTTTTGACTTAAATCGGCTTGTAAATCTATGGCAAGACTTAAATGGCTGTCTAGCGATGATCAATAACCAACTTGACAGAGTTTGAATAATTTTTTAAAGAATAATGTGCAAATATTGTACAACCCAGGTGTGCAAAGCTCTTAGAGACTTACTCAGAAAGACAGCTGTAATCGCTGCCAAAGGTGATTCTAACATGTATTGACTCATGGGTGTGAATAATTGCGTAAATAAGACATTTCTGTATTTCATTTTCAATAAATGTGGTAAAATTTCTACAAATATGTTTTCACTTTGTCATTATGGGGTATTATGTGTAGATGGGTGAGACATAAAAACATATTTAATCAATTTTGAATTAAGGCTGTAACACAACAAAATGTGGAATAAGTCAAGGGGTATGAATAATTTCTGAAGGCACTGTATGACCTAGTATGGACTGTAGCCAGAGCGACTATCCTGTTCCTCACCACTGTCTTCTCCTGTTGTTTCCAGGTACTAGCCTGACGATGATCCCCCGAGCACAGACCTTCCCCAGCTTCCTCTCTGAACAGACAGAAGAAGAGCAGTCCTCTCGGCACCAGGAAGAGGCACTTTCCCCCTCCAGTGGCTACGGCTCAAACTGCAACCAGGGGATGCTCCAATGACAAGCACTTACAGGACAAATCTGGACATTCCAACACTTTAGAAGGCTGTAGTAATATGTATAGGAACATGTATAATATGTCATTGTATGTTAATAAATTATGACGATAGTGTTAATTGTAGAGCGGTACATATATATATATATATTATTCTAGACTTTTTTGTACCCGTTGTGAGACAACATAGGCTAAAACAATTGCACCAAAAATATTTGTCTTGTAGTTTTCAAAAGGGAGATGTACTGTACGTGTCATAGTGTTTGCGAGTACTTTGGGTAATTTCACTGTAAAGTCCCTCGTTGGTTAAATATCATTTTTTCAAACTGCATATCATACATTCTGAAATGTCAAAAGTTTATGCAGATTGCAAAGCAATGCTGAAAAGGGTTATGTTTGTAAGTTGTTAATGTCCTGTGACTGAAGGTCCAAAAAATTGGAATGTGTTTTTCATCCCTTGATGTTCTGACACCTGCTGGGTCCCACTCATTAGGGAAAACTCGAACGTTCTGAAATATTTGTGGGCATTTCAGTTTACCTGCAACAAGCACCACATCCCTCCATTCAAAATGGTTTGCTTGTTCACGAGTACAGGTCTGAGATAGACACTGTAGGCAACATATTTAAAAATCTATACAAATCATCCCAACTTCCAAACGCATGAACAAATCCATACAATTAAAATATGAACACATCTGACTAGCACCTATAGGCTATATCTAAGTCCAACCTGACTAGGACCTACAGTATAGACTATGGCCTATTTAACGCCAACCCTTGTGAACAAGCAGTTTGTTTGGCTTCTGTCTGGAGCCCTCAGACTGTGACCACGCTTGGTCTGACTACTGATGTTTCCCAGACCTCTCGCCCTGTCCTCCAGCCCCAGTATGAAGTGCCTTGTGACGCATGCAGACTGCAGTGTGACACTACTGCACCAGACACCCACAGGCTTCATCTCTGGCCTGGGTCCGTGTCTGTTATTGTTAGGGATGAGTTCTAGTACATCTACGCCCTAAGCTCCTCTTTGGTGCAAGACATTCTGAAAATAATCTTGTCCATAAAAATATAAAAATACTTGTCATCTGTCATTATCTGAGAAATGGTAGTGTCCACAAATTCACAGATTGTAAGAAGTCAATGTTCACAAGAAAAGACAATCAGTTTATTGAGGTATACAGATGAGCAAATCAGTCGAAACACTGTTATCCTATTGAGCTACTTCCTTTGTTGTGTGAATTATTTTGTCAAAGTTTGATTATTTATTTTCATAGAGGTAGATATGTTTATATGGAATCCCAGAAACATCCGGGGCACAGTATAAAAAATATCATATATTTAGATCTCACAGTTGCACACAATTAGCTGTTTATTTAATTACTGTATATTATACGTGAATCAATTTAACCTTAACATGAAAGTGCCCTTCTACAAAAGGTTCTCAGTATCTATCAGATACAATGATAACTGTGTGAAACTCATTACTGTACACTTGTGTTTAAGGTAATTAATCCATCTCGACTATTTTACACAACTGTAAAGGGAGAAAGTAGTTCCATTTTGTTTGCTATGAGTATTTATACAAATGTGGTAGGGAGAGAAAGTAGTTCTAGTTTGTTTGGAGTATTTATACAACGGTGGTAATGAGACAAATTAGTACCAGGTAGTTATGTGACATTCATCATTTGCTGTTTTCCACTTTACATTTATTTCTCACACTGTTTATGTCAGTCACATCTTGTTTGAATATAATATAGAAATACACAGTAGAGATTTTCTGTCTTCAATGGTACTACATTACCAGTGGTGGGAAAAGTGGCCATTGTAATACTTGAGTTAAAGTAAAGATACCTTAATAGAAAATTACTCAAGTAAAAATGAAAGTCACCCAGTAAAATGCTACTTGAGTAAAAGTCCAAAAGTATTTGGTTTTAAATATACTTAAGTATCAAAAGTAAATGTAATGTCTAAAATATACATTAGTATCAAAAGTAAAAGTATAAATAATTTCAAATTCCTTATATTAAGCAAACCAGACAGCACCATTTTCTTGTTTTTTGAGTACAGTGAGGGAAAACATATTTGATCTGATTTTTTATTTGCATTTTAATGAGGGAAATAAGTATTTGACCCCTCTGCAAAACATGACTTAGTACATGGTGGCAAAACCCTTGTTGGCAATCACAGAGGTCAGACATTTCTTACAGTTGGCCACCAGGTTTGCACACATCTCAGGAGGGATTTTGTCCCACTCCTCTTTGCAGATCTTCTCCAAGTCATTAAGGTTTCGAGCCTGACGTTTGGCAACTCGAACCTTCAGCTCCCTCCACAGATTTTCTATGGGATTAAGGTCTGGAGACTGGCTAGGCCACTCAAGGACCTTAATGTGCCTCTTCTTGAGCCACTCCTTTGTTGTCTTGGCCGTGTATTTTGGGTCATTGTCATGCTGGAATACCCATCCACGACCCATTTTCAATGCCCTGGCTGAGGGAAGGAGGTTCTCACCCAAGATTTGACGGTACATGGCGCCGTCCATTGTCCCTTTGATGCGGTGAAGTTGTCCTGTCCCCTTAGCAGAAAAACACCCCCAAAGCATAATGTTTCCACCTCCATGTTTGACAGTGGGGATGGTGTTCTTGGGGTCATAGGCAGCATTCCTCATCCTCCAAACACAGCGAGTTGAGTTGATGCCAAAGAGCTCCATTTTGGTCTCATCTGACCACAACACTTTCACCCAGTTCTCCTCTGAATCATTCAGATGTTCATTGGCAAACTTCAGAGGGGCCTGTATATGTGCTTTCTTGAGCAGGGGGACCTTGCGGGCGCTGCAGGATTTGAGTCCTTCACAGCGTAGTGTGTTACCAATTGTTTTCTTGGTGACTATGGTCCCAGCTGCCTTGAGATCATTGACAAGATCCTCCCGTGTAGTTCTGGGCTGATTCCTCACCGTTCTCATGATCATTGCAACTCCACGAGGTGAGATCTTGCATGAAGCCCTTGATGGAGATTGACAGTTCTTTTGTGTTTCTTCCATTTGCGAATATTTTTTTGTTTTGTTGTTATTCTGTCTCTCACTGTTCAAATAAACCTACCATTAAAATTATAGACTGATCATTTCTTTGTCAGTGGACAAACGTACAAAATCAGCAGGGGATCAATTACTTTTTTCCCTCACTGTATATGGATAGCCAGGGGCACACTCCAACACTCAGACATCATTTACAAACGAAGCATGTGTGTTTAGTGAGTCTGCCAGATCAGAGGCAGTAGGGATGACCAGGGATGTTCTCTTGATAAGTGTGTGAATTTGACAATTTTCCTGCCCTGCTAAGCATTCAAAATGTAACAAGTACTTTTAGGTGTCAGGGAACATGTATGGAGTAAAAAGTACATTATTTTCTTAAGGAATGTAGTGAAGTAAAAGTAAAAGTTGTCAAAAATATAAATAGTAAAGTAAAGTACAGTTACCCCCAAAAAATGACTTAAGTAGTACTTTAAAGTGTTTTTACTTAAGTACTTTACACCACTGTACATTACACTACATTACAAAATGGTAATATTCCTACCACCTCAATGTTAGTTTGATGTTTGTGTCTAAACAGTCACACACTACATGCTTTTGTGTTTTGTTACTTTGTCGTAATATTTGTTAATAGCACTTTTAATACATTGAGTGTAGGATTACATTGTTCACTCGCTAAATGTATATATGTAATGTTTTTTTGATGACGAAAGATAATAAATTGAATGTACATGCTGGCAATGTATAAAGATGTTTTTATTTTTTATTTTTATGACAATACATTTCTGTGCAGATTTACCCAACATGCAACAGGGCTAAATGCAGTTGCTATGGCAGGGATTCAATCAAAGCGCATTGTAGAGAAGCACATTGCAATTTGCTTTAAAAGTTAATGTTCCGGACATTCGCGGAGATCGCATTCACGGCAAGTGTTGCGGATGTCGGCACATGCGTAAATGACCTTTAAAAGTAAAGTGCAATGCCCTTGTCTACAACACACCTTTGATTGAATCCCGGCCAAACACTCCCAGAAGAGACCAAATCATGTCACAGTAGAGTAGGTTTTATTTAGTCCAAATGGGGTCATTAAAGTCACAGAGAAACACAGTATCAGCACCTATTGTACCGACGCAGACAAGTAGGCTTAATAAATGAACAAGACTAAAACCCTGTATTCCGAATGTAAATTGTCCATTATTCTTTCATTTTTTGCGTCCTCCTCTTCTTGCTGAGAGCCCAAGACATCTTTCATTCCCAAGACCTCCATTTTACTCTCAGCTGGGAATAGAATTGCATTTTTGTCCAACAGTGTCAGAAGAATTTCTAATCACAGCATTCATCTAGATTCTACAGCTAGAAAGAGAAGAAATATTTGATCTATGGCTTAGATATTTTAAAAAATACAATAGTACAGTATGTTTCAATTGACTATCATCATTTTGTGAATTAACATTAGTGCAATTCCATGATAATATAACATTACAGCATTCCATAAGAACCTACAGGACCCAATCTGCATAACTACAACAGGAAAATACAGCATTCCCAGGGGATGGTACAGCATGATTGGTTTGTTCATTGCCACACAATTGAGTTAGGGACAACTAAGGATTTGAATGGGGCTGGGACGGTGATTAGAAAGCTTTGAATTACAGTTTGTTAGGGTAGTTATATTACTTCTGCATGTAAAGCCTTCAACAATATATTATACAAAATGTATTACATGTTGTTAGTGGCAAATGTATATTTAAACAAACCTTCAATGTTTCAAGGGATTACACAGAGATGCATAGATTGAGGGCAAACAAAGTGTAAATCAGACTGATACATAGTTTACCGGCCTACTTTGCAGTTATATGAATGATTATGTCCTACAGTCTTTGACCACTATAAGAGGTTGAATATCAAATCCATGAATGTTCAAATGGGGAGACTGTTGCTGTGCCACTGTTACAGCATGATAGAGGTCAGACGGGTCTGTAACACAGTACCGCTCCCTATCTCTTCCTTTTAGTGTGTGGACGTATGGTGTGTATGTTGGCATACACTGGGCTATCTCCTCTCTGATTGGTCCCATTCCTCATCCTGTCATACACAGGAACGTTCTCATAGTTGTTGCAGGACTACAAAGACATTAGACATTAGGAGCTATATTAAAATTATGTTAGAGATGTGCCACATTAATGGAAAAGCACTTACTGATACATGGAAACAAGATATTGTGCTATTTTATTAGCATCCACATGATTAGGAAATGACAAGAGATAATGTTATATTTTTACCCGTCTCGCAGCTGGATGCAGTTTGATTCTGTACTCCTCTCTTCTCTTCTTCTTTCTGAAGAAATAGAGAGTCAGAGAGACAGACAGACAGAGAGACAGAGAGAGTCAGAGAGACAGACAGACAGAGAGAGTCAGAGAGACAGACAGTCAGAGAGATAGACAGACAGAGAGACAGAGAGAGTCAGAGAGACAGACAGTCAGAGAGACAGAGAGAGTCAGAGAGACAGACAGTCAGAGAGACAGACAGACAGAGAGACAGAGAGAGTCAGAGAGACAGACAGTCAGAGAGACAGAGAGAGTCAGAGAGACAGAGAAACAGATAGAGGGTCAGAGAGACAGACAGACAGAGATACAGATAGAGAGTCAGAGAGACAGACACACACACACACACACACACTCCTAAAGGGCACACTCTACTGGAAGTACAGGACCTACACTCCTCGCTAAAAAAGCAAAATGAAAGTACACTCTCCGACTAAAAGTCAGTGTGAGCGGTGGGCCGCCTTTCAGACATATGGTGCAGGAGAGGGATGGAGGGAGGGAAGGAAGGTTGGGGGAAATTGGAATTTCACAGCAACAAGTTTATTCTCTAACAAATGAGTACCTATCTCCAGTAGCCTATTTACCTCTAACTGGGATGACTAATGCATGGTCTGTGAGAGGTATTTACTAGTAAGAATATGTGGAACTTTTACATGTATCACATACAGATCACATCCAAATAAAGCTTGACAGTGTAAAGGGGCAATAGGTATAAAGGGGCCTTCTGCAAATAAAGTATTAATCTATGTGTCCACTGAATATTTTTTAAGTTTACCTAGGCTAAGACTAGAGTAAATATAACTGTAAATTGTCTCTGCATGATGAAAGAGTGTAGAAAGTCGACGCTTACTGTACCTTTGCCACACGACCAGTATTACAATGATAGAGAGCAGCAGTAGGAGTCCTGACACTCCCCCTCCAATGTAGATGTAGATTAGATACTCAGACAGGCTGAATTCAACTGAAATGGAGGGAGAAAATAGAGGAGGAGGGAGGAAAGAGCACGTTAGATGGTTGTTTGTTAACCTGTGTTTCCAAAATGGTAGGTCCTGACTGACTGGTGGGCCGTGTGTAATTCCTTTACCCGTTGTGTCTTAAAGACTGGGTAGAAACGTTATTTTTGTCAACTTGGTGTGTTACAAGATAACTCCAAACTCTTTAGGTCGGTCACGGGTCAAAAAGGTTTGCTAAACACTTGTTTAAAACACCTCCCTCTCTCCCCAAACACACCACTCATCTACGAAATAAGAGTAATTCCGTTTTGCACCTGTACCAAACCGTCAACAGCCTTCACCACATCCTGTGTCACTATGTGACTCACTGTGTGTATGAAGTCATTGTAAGCAGAGCTGCATGTGTATACACAGCCTAATTAATACCTTGTCTCTATGTTGCATCTTGATCTAGACTAAACAAAAATATAAATGCAACATGCAACAATTTCAAAGATTTTACTGAGTTACAGTTCATTTGAGGAAATCAGTAAATTGAAATAAATTCATTAGGCCCTAATCTATGGATTTCACATGACTGGGAATACAGATATGCATCTGTTGGTCACAGATACAATTTTTTTTTTTTTATGCTCCTCACAAATGGGCCTCAGGATCTTGTTGGGGAGTTGCAGCAATGAGACAAGATCAAAATTGTGGAGAAAAAGGGTGTACAACAACAACAAGAAAATGCAAATTTTAGAGTGGCCTTTTGTCCCCAGCACAAGGTGCACCTGTGTAATGATTATGGTATTTAATCAGCTTATTGATATACCACACCTGTCAGGTGGATGGATTATCTTGACAAAGTTTAAAATGCTTACTAACAGGGATATAAACAAATTTGTGCACAACATTTTAGAGAAATAATATTTTTGTACATATGGAAATGTTCAGGTACCTTTTATTTCAGCTCACAAAACATTGGACCAGCACTTTACATGTTGCATTTTTATTTTTGTTCAGTGTAGATCATTGTCATGGAAATATGAGGTTGCTTTCACAGGGGGACTGTTCTACCCAGGCTTTCAAGGTCTCAATGTTACTGTGCAACTAAATACATGTTTTCACTGTATTAGTAATTAAGTTCAATGTCTGAAATTACCTTGGCTGGTTACAATTAGTCTGATAATGTTTTAACTCTGACCTCTCACCTGGGCTAAGTACAGTCAGCAGCACAGTGGTGGTCTGTACCCCAGCGTCCGTATTGAAGAGGCATCTATACAACCCTCCGTCTTCCTCGCCCACGTCATTGAGCTGCAGACTGGTGTCCAGTCTATCTGAACAGTTCACTATCCCCCTGTGGGTGTAGTCTACTCTAAACAGACCTCCATTCTCCAGCCGACACACCGCCATGATGCCCACGCCACTGGCGCTACCATGGCCTAGCTTCTCGACAGTGACCTCATACACGGTCCCGTTGTGTTCGTGGTTGCAGCTCATAGTCAGGTTGTCGCTCCTCTCTGCGATGAGTTCAGTGTCCGCTTCGATCACCTCAGGCTCAGGTTCTCTGGTGTGGATGTCAGTTTCTCCTTCATCTGTGATCCAGTGAAATTACAAAACAAAGGCAGAAAATGCTGAGACAATACACTATACAGTATATACAAAAGTATGTGGACACCAATTCAAATTTGTGGATTTGGCTATTTCAGCCACACCAGTACAAATCAAATCAAATTTTATTTGTCACATGCGCCGAATACAACAGGTGTAGACCTTACAGTGAAATGCTTACTTACAAGCCCTTAACCAACAATGCAGTTTTAAGAAAGAATACCAAAATAAATCACTAAAAAATACAATATAAAATAATACGAAATAAAAGTAACACATAAATAATGAGCAGCAGTAAAAATAACAATAGCGAGGCTATATACAGGGGGTACCGGTACCGAGTCAATGTGCGGGGGCACGGGTTAGAGTCGAGGTAATTGAGGTAATATGTACATGTAGGTAGAGTTATTAAAGTGACTATGCATAGATAATAAACAGAGTAGCAGCAGCAGCTTAAAAGGGGGGGGGGGGGGCAATGCAAATAGTCTGAGTAGCCATTTGATTAGATGTTCAGGAGTCTAATGGCTGACACCGCCTGGTATAGAGGTCCTGGATGGCAGGAAGCTTGGCCCCGGTGATGTACATTGCCTCGCAATGCTGCCATTTTTAGACTGCTGACAATGTAATTACCTTTTCAGTAATTAAAGTTGGAAATTCAAACAGTGCAGATAGTCAAATTAATTTTCGATACAACGGAATACTAACCAGCTACCGATGTTTTTATTTTTTTGAATATACAGCTGTCCTGCATTGGCTACCGGGACCTGCATGACATGAGCCATCCTCGCGCTCTCTCCCAGCTTGGATAGAAAGATAATAGTCTATCCCTGCTAAAAACACTAGTTTACTAGGAATTGTTTCATTATGCAGTGTACTATTGTATAGCTATATATACCGTCTTTAGCTGCGATTTAGGTGTTATTTATAAACTTTTTATAAAAATTACACATCAAATAGCCTAACAGTGAGGAAAAAAGTAGTTTGCTTGAGGATAAGTTCAGCCACCTATTGTTGAACTCTGGCTAATAGCCTACACAAATGGGGTGCAATATTCAAGGTATATTAAATTAGTCCTAAATCAAATTTGAGACTCCCCTTGTCTCCTGTGTGCAAATGTTTTCACCACGGCCTGTAGGTCCAGGTTGCGGCCCGACTGTTTTCTATACTGAGTATTGCCAACCGACAGTCCTGAGACATTGTGCATTATATGTCCATTGAACTGCACACAATTTAAACTTAGTGTTAAATGATGCATGCTAAGATATACCAGAGATAAGGGGCTGTTGATATCGCAACCACACAACTCAAACGCCGGTTCACCATTATGAACTTAAATCGCAAACAGTTATTATTATTTTTCATCTACCAATGTATTGGCTGTTCAGTGTCCAGACAACCTGTCACCAGAGCTTTATAAACAGTTACATTCTTTCCATAACGTATTGAGGCCGGCAATTAAGGAGAATTTTAGGCTCAATGAAAGATGTTGCAGAACTGCTGTGTTTGAAGCACTCTTCCCTTCTGCCCATGTTCCCTGATGTTGCTATGGCAATCAAGCCGTTTTTACCATCCCTGTAACTGCCGCTTCTGCGGAGAGATCGTTTTCTAAACTAAAACTCAAAGAACTAGGCCTACATAAGAAACAGGCTCTCGGTCTGATTTGAACACCTGAGAAAGCTCCACTCATTGCACCGGCGCCGTCGTAGCCTTGACCACGGCATTTGTTCGCCAATATCCCCCTTATACATTCAATCAGTTAATTTTGTAAAAAAAAATTCAAGAGCTGGGACACTTTTTCAGTCACATTCCTGAAGCCTAAGAAATAAACACTTAGTTTCCAAGTACATATGGGGAAAAAAAGGTTTATGAATAAATTACCATTTGGAAGGTTACTGTCAAAAGGATTTATTACATAAAACAAATAAATAGACATCGATGAGACTCGCACGGGCATAGTAATAACACTCTGGGATTGATGAAAACAATCACGATTATGAGTCAAAGCATTTGGTACTAGCTAGTCAAACGCGATTATTTCAAGTGTAAACAGCATATTCTAAATGAAAATATACAAGAAGTCCTAGACTGTACCTGCTTCACTACCTGCATCACCCTCCTCTAGAGTCACTGTGTCCTCCACCTCCACCCTTATGTCTCTGGCCCAGGATCCTTTAGGAAAGGTTTGAACAGAGCAGTGGTAGAGCCCTGCATCCTCCTGGGTGACCATACTGATGGTGATACTGCCGTCCATGGGTGTGGTCTTCAGGAATTGGATCCTGGTCTGGTAGGACTGGGAGATGGACACTCCGTACTCAGGGTGGTACACGGCTACAGGGGCCTTCTCAAACCGGATCAGTTTGGTCCAGGAGACCATGCTGAGGTTCCCTTCCCATGGACACACACACCCTAGAACCATCCCCTCCTCCAGCTTCACCGTGGTAACACCATTTCTCTGCTGCACAGAAACTGGACATGGCAGAGTGCATGTTTTCATACGTGTACAGTGTTACATTATCTAATTTTACCTGGTCAGTTCATCAGGAATATGAGCCATTCCAAGAAAATAATTCTGACCTAAGGTTATCTCCAGTTAATTTTTTTTTTTGGTAATCAGATTATTTGGGTCCTGTGTAGCTCAGTTGCTAGAGCATGTCACTTGCAACGCCAGGGTTTAGGGTTGTGGGTTCGTTTCCCACGGCGGGCCAGTATGAAAAATGTATGCACTCACTAACTGTAAGTTGCTCTGGATAAGAGCGTCTGCTAAATGACTATAATGTAAAAATAATTAATCACTGGAATTGACATGGAAATGCTGCATAGAGCAGAATGAAAAGCATGTAAGAAGAACCCTCATCACGTAGTCAGCTGCTCAAGATGAAGCAGACATCACATACATTTCCCTCTTTTGAGTCTCTCCCCTGGTTATCACTAATTAGGATAATATTAGCCCACACAAATCAACAGAAATGGCAATAGCTGATGATCAAACAGGTCAGTCTTCAATCAGACCTCGATCTAGACAAAAAAAATCCCTTGGAGAGATAGCTAGTCTGACAGGTTTGTCCCATTAAGGTAAGAGTATGAAAAATGTATGCACTCACTAACTGTAAGTGGCTCTGGATAAGAACGTCTGCTAAATGACTAAAATGTAACGGTAATAAGGGAGCGTTGCCCACTGGCCGTCTAAAGACTAACTCATTAACATGGACTCTGTCCTGGGTGTGTAAGAGTAAAGGGACGTTTGAGAAGCTGATGAGATGGTTGGTGTTACTGTAGTCTCCTAATTAAGAGTTGAAGAGAGAATGTCTGAACGCAGTCTGATTGTTATGGAGACGTGCATAGAGATTAAGGGCAATGAGAAGTCAAACAGAATCAGCCTTTGTAGTTTTAATCCTAACAGCTCATGGTATGCAATCTTCAAGCAACTAAATAAATACTAAAACCCATTGGGGTGAATATTTCAGTAATAATGTTTCATGTTGAGACTTAGCAGTAAACTTAAATTTTTACCAAATGCAAGACAACAAATAGCCTACCAAGCTAAACCAACAACTTTCAAGTACTCTGCTTTATAATCCATAATGTACAAGTATACAAAACATGTATATTTATATATCAACATTACTCATTAAAATAACAAAAAGTGCCATAACCATACCTTTGAGACTGGAGAGAAAGATGAGGAGTACCATGAAGTACCAGTGGTCCTTTTGTACAGCCTCCATCTTGGCCCTCTGAGGCAGAATGAAAGCTGCATTGATGAGATGAGTGGAGAGCAGAGGCAACAGGGCTGCACTTCCTACTAGCTGTCTCTCGCTCTACAGAAAAATACTTTGTCCCAAATGGCACCCTATTCCCATGGGGGGGGGGGGGGGGGGACACTCCATGCTAACCCATTGTTAGCTCATTCTACATTGAGGGACACTTTATATGCAGGGTTAGTGGTGGGTGGAAAGCTTAGTCCTGCTAGCTTATGCTATTAGGCTACTACAGAGAGGTGATGTGTGTTGCAGTGATTTATTGTAAACTACTGACTAGTAATTATAAAGATCTATTTAGCTACTGGGAATTATTGTGTGAAGCACTACTTTCTGTGTGTAGTACTGCAGTAGCTCTGGCTAGCTGTGTGTTTGACTGAAAGGTGGTATTGGTGTTTACAAGACCAGAGGTGATATTTCCTGTTTCCAGCCACAGTTCCACCATTGTTGCGCTCTCTGAAAATGACAGCCTTTCCTACACAGGCCTCATATAGAGGAAATGGTATCATTGTACTTATTCAAGGCTACAGTACATTCGGAAAGTATTCAGACCCCTTCTCCACATTTTGTTACATTACAGCCTTATTCTAAAATGGATGAAATATCAATCTACACACAATACCCCATAATGACAAAGCAAAAATAGGTAATTAGACATTTTTATAAGTAATCAGACCCTTTGCTATGAGACTCGAAATTGAGCTCCGGTGCATCCTGTTTCCATTGATCATCCTTGAGATGTTTCTACAATTTGATTGGAGTCCCCCTTTGGTAAATTCAATTGATTGGACATGATTAGGAAAGGCACACACCTGTCTATATAAAGTCCCACAGTTGACAGTGCATGACAGAGCAAAAACCAAGGCAGCATCATGCTGTGGGGATGTTTTTCAGTGGCAGGGACTGGGAGACTAGTCAGGATCGAGGGAAAGATGAACGGAGCAAAATACAGAGAGATCCATCCAACCTGACAGCGCTTGAGAGGATCTGCAGAGAAGAATGGGAGAAACTCCCCAAATACAGGTGTGCCAAGTGTGTAGCGTTATACCCAAGAAGACTCGAGGCTTCAACAAAGTACTGAGTATAGGGTCTGAATACTTATGTAAATGTGATATCAGTATTTTATTTTTAATACAATTTGCAAAAAATGTATAAAAACATGATTTTGCTTTGTCATTATGCGGTATTGTGTGTAGATTGATGGAAAAAACGATTTAATCCATTTTAGAATAAGGCTGTAACATAACAAAATGTGGAAAAAGTCAAGGGGTCTGAATACTTTCCAAATGCACTGTATATGTTGGAGTTGTCTTATAGGTTCAGGGAAGGTATCAGGTTCAGAATATGTCATTCTGAATCATGATAGTATCTTGTGTTGTAAAACATAAAAGTGAGCCAGACTTTTTCATCCATCATTATTTACTTTAATGTATGATTCAATCCCCAAAATATGTACAAAACATACAAAAACATCACACAAATCATAGAAAAGATGTAGGGACATTAAAAAAAGACATCTACCGTATCGAGTTTGCACTCATATATTCACTTCAAATATAAATAAGGTTTCAGGGTGTCTACATTCTGTTAGATGGCATCAATATGTCAGTCAGGTATTCAGCAGCTGAGTTAAGTTCTCAAGGCACTTCAACAGGTAGGTGTTCATGGTGTCAGGCTTTTTCTCTGCATCTGACAATAAAAGATAGGCACACACATAAGAATTGAGGCAATAGAGCACAATAACAACAGGACTGTGACACTAACATTTTCAGCACATTCAGAGTCTGGACTAAAGGTGGAAAGCATACCTTTCTTAGCAGCTTTATAGGCTTCATCCACCCTGAGTCTGACAGAGGGACACTTCAAAGTGGTCTTGGCCTTAGATGAGGAATCACAACGGCAGGTTAGAGACAGCTGTACTTCATATAATGAGCTCTTATGATTCTAAAAAGGATGTTTGTGTACCTTCTGGTAGTTGTGGAGCAGGGCCCATAGGGCCGAGGCTCCTATAGAGCGGACCTCAGTCTCTTTACACTCCAGACAGGACACCAGCACCCTCATGGCCTTATCTGGACAAATATATATTTTTTCTATTAGTATATTTGGGTTTGTTCTGTTGTTTCTGGAGGATTCAATTGAAATTGAGACATATAATAATGTTGGACATAAAGTATTATTCATTTCCCATTCATAAAATGACACATCATTAGAAAAGATTAGCAGGTTTGACAGGGTGTGATGTTGTAACAAAGACTACTTCTGTTCACACATGCCGATATCGTTTCCTTTTCAGTTCAGCACAGTGTTTAGGCCAAAGTATCAAAAGAGAGGATGTAACAGCTTTCATTTCATATCAAACACCCACCTTTTACATTCACACATGCATACAGGAAGCCAAAGCTTTCCACTGGAAACTACAAATATGAATTCAAAGAAGCCCCCCTAAGATGTCATCGGATTACATTTTGTGTAAACCTTAAACGTGATGCAAGGGTAGGAATAGTGCAATTTAAAACACAGAAACCATTTCTCAACATCTCTCCCTGTCTCTCTCACTCTCTCTCTGATAAAAACATCCATGAGTATACCCTGAGTTCCATCCCTACCGTGGGCCAGTACTTTGGGTTTGTTGGTGGAGCTGAAACAGACATTGTGGAGGATGAGGAGGGCGTTGTCCGCCATGGTGATGGGCCTGCTCCCATTGCCATGGTGACGGTGGCGTTGGGGCTGCGTAGCGGCCAGGTCAGCGAGGAGGTCCAGGGCTCCTGTCAGCCTCAGGACACTCAGCTGGCCGTCCTCCCCGAAGGAGACACTCAGGAGTAGCCTCAGCCACAAGCCCACCAGCCCCCCGGCACCGGGACCCGTCTTACTGCCTGGCTTAGGGACAGGCAGGGACAGGAACGGCTGCAGGAAGTTACTCTGGAGGGAGAGAGAGAAATGAGATTCAGCCAGGTTTTGATTGAAACTGAGAAAGACACGTGAAATCGAGAGGAGCTTTGTTAAAGCTTAAAAAGATTTTGAAAACAAGTGACTCAACTTGCAGTATTTACAGTGAAGACACTTTTTAAACCAGTAGTCACATTGACACCATCTCCAATCACATTACCTTCTGCAGGGCCAGGTTTGGTGATAATGTGGTTAGGGTAATGTAGTAATGTAATAGTGGTAATAATGTAGTACATTACCTTCCGCAGGACTCCCTTACAGTCCTTGTTGGTGGCCAGGTTTGGTGATAATGTGGTAAGGGTAATGTAATAGGGGTAATAATGTAGTACATTACCTTCTGCAGGACTCCTTTACAGTCCTTGTTGATTGCCAGGTTGGCCAGCAGGGAGAAGGCCAGCTGCTGGACAGGGCTGTTGTCGGGGGCAATCCCAGAGGCCAGCTTCATGACGCAGTGCATCAGGGAGCCACCTGGAGGCCCTCGGGGGCCAGAGGCCAAACCAGGGGCCACACCACAACACAGAGAGCTACAGGCTGGGGAGAGAGAAGAGGAAGGGAAGGAGAGAGGAGAAAAGTAACAAAGCAAGAAAAGTAAGAGTACTGTTGACACTGACAGACAGGTGTAGAGGCAGGATATGATAGGTGAGTAGAGGTTGTGATGTTAAGCCTGATAGATCCTGTAGTATTTGTTCTGTATTAACAAGGTGTGTTGGTCAGAGTAGAGTCTCACGAGGAGTAGGGCTGGTTGCCTGACGATGGGTTATAGGGGTTGTATAGGCCTATATCTACAGCCTAGTTGGAGTATCCAGATCGAGGAAAATGCATGTATTTTTGACAAAATAATAACATTTCACATAAATTGTGTAGCATTCACAACTTTAAATCTTCATCAGGCTTCGCTAAACTGAGTACATTGCGTATAAAATCGTTTGAGTCTGTGAAACCTTGTATTGTTTATCTACAGCCTAGTCTGAAAGTGAAAAATACATGTTTTTAGAACAGACTAATAATTTATACTGAACAAAAATATAAATCAACATGTAAAGTGTTGATCCCATGTTTCATGAGCTGAAATAAAAGATCCCAGAAATGTTCCATATGGACAAAAAACGTATCTCTCAGATTTTGTTTTCTTTACATGACAGGAATGGACCTCCTCCATTCCTGTCATTATCGAAAGAGACTGTGATAATATCTCACATCTCAAAATAGTACTACTTAATGTTAGATCCCTCACTTCCAAGGCAGTCACAGTCAATGAACTAACCACTGATCATAACCTTGATGTGATTGGCCTGACTGAAACATGGCTCAAGCCTGATGAATTTTCTGTGTTAAATGAGGCCTCTCTTCCGGGTTACACTACTGACCATATCCCTCGCGCATCCTGCAAAGGCGGAGGTGTTGCTAACATTTACGACAGCAAATGTCAATAATAATTTTAAAAAAGACTGCGTTTCCGTCTTTTGAGCTTCTAGTCATGAAATCTATGCAGCCTACTCAATCACTTTTTATAGCTAGTGTTTACAGGCCTCCTGGACCATACACAGCATTCCTCACCGAGTTCCCTGAATTCCTATCGGACCTTGTTGTCATGGCAGATAATATTCACATGGAAAAGTCCACAGACCCACTCCAAATGGCTATTGGAGCCATCATCGACTCAGTGGGTTTTGTCCAACATGTGCTTACGCATTGCCACAGTCATACCCTGGATCTAATTTTGTCCCGTGGAATAAATATTGTGGATCTAAATGTTTTTCCTCATAATACTGGACTATCGGACCACCATCTTATTACGTTTGCAATCGCAACAAATAATCTGCTCAGACCCCAACCAAGATTATCGAAAGCCGTGCTATAAATTCTCGGACAACCCAAAGATTCCAAAATGCCTTTCCAGACTCCCTCCACCAACCCAAGGACGTCAGAGTACAAAAATCAGTTAACCACCTAACTGAGGATCTAAATTGAACCTTGCGTAATACACTAGATGCAGTCACACCTCTAAAAACAAAAAACATTTATCACAAGAAATTAGCTCCCTAGTATACAGAAAATACCTGCGCCCTGAAGCAAGCTTCCAGAAAATTGGAACGGAAATGGCACTCCACCAAAATGGAAGTCTTCCAACTAGCTTGGAAAGACAGTACTGTGCAATATCAAAGAGCCCTCACTGCTGCTCGATCAACGTACTTGTCCAACCTGATTGAGGAGAATAAAAACAATCCAAAATGTATTTTTGATACTGTCGCAAAGCTAACTAAAAAGCAGCATTCCCCAAGAGAGGATGGCCTTCACTTCAGCAGTGATGAATTCATGAACTTCGACAAAAAGATAATGATCATTAGAAAGCAAATTACGGACTCCTCTTTGTATCTGCGTATTTCACCAAAACTCAGTTGTCCTGAGTCTGCACAGAACTGCCAGGACCTAAGATCAACGGAGACACTTACGTTTTTTAATCCTGTTTCTCTCTACACATTTAAGAACATAGTCATGGCCTCTAAACCTTCCAGCTGCCTACTCAACCCTATTCCAACTGAAAGAGCTACTACCTGTGCTTGGCCCTCCTATGTTGAACATAATAAACAGATCCCTATCTTCCGCATCTGTACCAAACTCACTAAAAGTGGCAGTAATAAAGCATCTCCTAAAAAAGCAAAACCGTGACCTCCCCAAAAAACTACATCGGCCTATATCGAATCTCCCATTCCTCTCAACATTTTTGGAAAAAGCTGTTGCGCAGCAACTCACTGCCTTCCAGAAGACAAATAATGTATATGAAACACTCCAGTTTGGTTTTAGACCCCATCATAGCACTGAGACTGTTCTCGTGAAGGTGGTAAATTACCTTTTAATGGAGTCAGAACAAGGCTCTGCATCTGTCCTCGTGCTCCTAGACCTTAGTACCGCTTTTGACACCATCACTCACCACATTCTTTTGGAGAGATTGGAAACCCTAATTGGTCTACATGGACAAGTTCTTGCCTGGTTTAGATATTATCTGTCGGAAATATATCAGTTCATCTCTGTGGATGGTTTGTCCTCAATTGTAAGTGTCGTGTTCCTCAAGGTTCCGTTTTAGGACCACTATTGTTTTCACTAAATATTCTACCTCTTGATGATGTCATTCGGAAACACAATGTCAACTTTCACTGCTATGCAGACGACACACAGCTGTACATTTCGATAAAACATGGAAGCCTGTGTTTCAGACATAAGGAAGTGGATGGCGGCCAATTTTTTTATTTTAAACTCGGACAAAACAGAGGTGCTAGTTCTAGGTCCCAAGAAACAAAGAGATCTGCTGTTTGATCTGACAATTAGTCTTGATGGTTGTACAGTCGTCTCAAATAAAACTGAAGGACCTCGGCGTTACTCTAGACCCTGATCTTTCTTTTGACGAACATATGAAGAATACTTTAAGGGCAGCTTTTTTCCATCTTCGTAACATTGCAAAAGAAATTAGAAATGTTTTGTCCAAAAATGATGCAGTAAAACGAATCCATGCTTGTCATTTCTAGATTAGTCTACTGCAATGCTCTACTCGCCGTCTACTCAGATATAGCACTAAATAAACTTCAGTATAGTGCTAAATACCTCTGCTAGAAAATTCAATAGAACCAAAAGATTTAATCATATTACTCCAGTGCTAGACTCTCTACACTGACATCCTGTTAAGACTAGGGCTGATTAAGGTTTTACTGCTAACCTACAAAGCATTACATGGACTTGCTCCTACTCATCTCTCCGATTTGGTCCTGCCGTACATATAGTACCTACACTTACGCTACGGTCAAATAATGCAGGCCTCCTTATTGTCCCTAGAATCTCTAAGCAAACAGCTGGAGGCAGGGCTTTCTCCTATAGAGCAACATTTTTATGGAATGGTCTGTCTATCCATGTGAGAGACTTTTAAGTCTTTACTGAAGAATCATCTCCTCAGTAGGTCCTATGATTGAGTGTAGTCTGGCCCAGGGGTGCTAAGGCGAATGGCAAGGCACTTGAGTGACGAACCGGCCTTGCAGTCTCTGCCTGGCATGCTCCCCTCTCTCCACTGGGATTCTCTGCCTCTGACCCTATTACGGAGGCTGGGTCACTGGCCTACTAGTGTTCTTCCATGCCGTCCCTAGCAGGGGTGCTTCACATCGTGCCAGGCTTTTTTGCGCTATACTCGACTTGAGTGGGTTGAGTCACTGATGTGATCTTCCTGTCCGTTCTTGTGCCCCCTCGGGCTTGTGCGGCGGAGGAGATCTTCGTGGGCTATACTCAGCCTTGTCTCAGGGTAGTAAGTTGGTCTTTTGATATCTCTCTAGGGGTGTGGGGACTGTGCTTTGGCAAAGTGGGTGGGGTCACAGTGTCCCCCGACCCTCCCTGTCTCAGCCTCCAGTATCTATGCTGCAATTGTCTATGTGCCGGTGGATGCTAGGGTCAGTCTGTCCTATCTGGTGAAATTCTCCTGTCTTATCTGGTGTCCAGTGTGAACTTAAGTATGCTAAATATAATTCTCTCCCTCCTCCCGGAGGACCAGCATTGCTTGCTGTTTGGGGTTTTAGGCTGGGTTTCTGTATTAGAACTTTGTGACATCTGCTGATGTAAAAAGGGCTTTATAAATACATTTGATTGTTAGTGAGCATTTCTCCTTTGCCAAAATAATCCATCCACCTGACAGGTGTGGCATATCAATAAGCTGATTAAACAGCATGGTTATTACACAGGTGCACCTTTTCCTGGGGACAATAAAAAGGCCACTCTAAAATGTGTAGTTCTGTCACACAACACAATACCACAGATGTCTCAAGTTTTGATGGAGCGCGCAATTGGCATGCTGACTGCAGGAATGTCCACCAGAGCTGTTGCCAGAGAATTTAATGTTAATTTAGCTACCATAAGGTGCCACCTATATAGTTTTAGAGAATTTGGCAGTACGTCCAACCGGCCTCACAACCGCAGACCCTGTGTAACCACGCCAACCCAGGACCTTCACATCCGGCTTCTTCACCTGCGGGATCGTCTGAGGGGGTGCTGAGGCGTATTTCTGTCTCTAATAAAGCTCTTTTGTGGGGAAAAACTAATTCTGATTGGCTGGGCCTGGCTCCCCAGTGGGTGGGCCCTATGCCCTCCCAGGCCAACTCATGGCTGCGCCCTTGCCCAGTCATGTGAAATTCATAGATTAGTGCCTATTTTATTTATTTAAATAGACTGATTTCCTTATATGAACTGTAACTCAGTAAAATCTTTGAAATTGTCACGTTGCGTTTATATTTTTGCTGAGTATATTTTCTAAAAAATATTGTAGCATTCACTACTCAAAATGTTCTTCATCAGGCTTCCCTAAAGTGAGAATATTGTGTAGAGATTGTTTTGTAGTCTGTGAAAGCTTGTATTGTAGGTCTAATTTAAAGGCTGGCGTCATGCAGTCTGAACACACACCTGTTGTTAGGCTAACCTTTAGGAAACGCTGGGCTCAACATGACTGATTGGTATTGCTTCACAGCGGGAGCATAAGCGTGGCCATAGAGCAAAACACACACACACACATTTCAAAGGTTGCATCTCAGAGACAACCACAGGTACAAAACAAACAGCATTCTGTCTCTCTGCTCAAAGGTTCACTTTCCATGACCTCAGAGACGCAGTGTCTAGGGCTCTACAAACACCCATATTAACCCCCTAGCTTCTAAATCTAACTGTCGCTCTACAAACACCCATATTAACCCCCTAGCTTCTAAATCTAACTGTCGCTCTACAAACACCCATATTAACCCCCTAGCTTCTAAATCTAACTGTCGCTCTACAAACACCCATATCAACCCCCTAGCTTCTAAATCTAACTGTCGCTCTACAAACACCCATATTAACCCCCTAGCTTCTAAATCTAACTGTCGCTCTACAAACACCCATATTAACCCCCTAGCTTCTAAATCTAACTGTCGCTCTACAAACACCCATATTAACCCCCTAGCTTCTAAATCTAACTGTCGCTCTACAAACACCCATATCAACCCCCTAGCTTCTAAATCTAACTGTCGCTCTACAAACACCCATATTAACCCCCTAGCTTCTAAATCTAACTGCCGCTCTACAAACACCCATATTAACCCCCTAGCTTCTAAATCTAACTGTCGCTCTACAAACACCCATATTAACCCCCTAGCTTCTAAATCTAACTGTCGCTCTACAAACACCCATATTTAGAGAACATGAAAGGAAACCGTAGTAGCCGTTTATCAAAGCTAAACAAAATACCACTAACTTATCTTCTTTCTCCTCCGTATTGCTGTAACTTGTGTAGCCTGTGTTTCACAGCACACCTCTGTTTCTCTTTCACACATACTGGAATATCAATGCCTCAGGAGACATAGTGATGCATTGTGATTCCCCTGTGAATACCCCACTGGTCCACAGCCTAGAATACTGTACCCACAGTAATGATTTAATGCAGCGAGGCAGCCTGCTCTAGCACACTGAGTGTTCCCATTGTGGCTGGCAGGCTCGTGGCAGTACTATTGGCCGGCGCTAGGCTTATACAGTGGGACAAAGTGTGTGGAGAGACAATGGGTCTCAGTGTGTGTGAGAGTGTATGACTCAGTCAGATCACTGACCACAGACTGGTGAAATGGCAGGCACGGGCCAGGCACTGAACAACACACACACACACAAACCTGTGGTACAGTTGGCTGTGTAGACACACAGCAGTTCCAGGACCGCCTCCATAGCGGCATCATCCAATAAGAACCAAGGCCAAAGGGCGTGCAGCACAGCAGCCAATCGACAGTCAGTGGCCACAGCCTGAGGAGAAACACACACAAATCCACCCGATTGAATCATCTTTGCTGATTGACAGTACGACACACTCATAAGTAAAGTGATTGTCAACACATTCTGCTAACCAAGCACATACAAACACACAAGGATGTAAAGTATAGAGTCCACAAATACATTAAGGGCCTTTCCCATCCCAATATCAATGCAAATGTAACTACTGCTGAGTGGATGCTGCAATTACGGTCTTTGAAATTTAGAGCCGCCAATATAGCCAATCATTCTACATTGACGTTTAACAGCATAAAAACACTCAGACCTCAACAGAGTCATAATCGTTAGGGCCAAATCTCATTCCAGACACAGTCAGCACCAGTAGAATGGCTTTCATTAAAAACCTATCAGGAGCGGATTAAAAAGGCAGGGTTCTCACTTTGGATTGTGTGTTGTGGTAAAGACAGTTCCTGAGAATTTCCAGAGACATCTTAAGTTCTTTCATATAGCTCTCCTCCTGGTGGGGGAGAAGACTCACATTAGACCTTGTTTGATGATCCACTCTAACCAATAACAGATAGCACCGTACCCATATTTGACACATTTTCAGTCAAGACAAGATCACCCAATAGCCTACACCAGGGTTTCCCAAACTTGGTGCACGTTTTGTGAGTTTTTGCCCTAGCACTACACAGCTGATTCAAAAATCTACTCATCATCAAGCGTGGATTATATGAATCAGCTGTGTAGTGATATGAGTGTTAGGAGTGTTAGAGCAAAAAGCAAAACGTGCACCCCTTGGGGACCCGAGGAACAAGTTTGGGAACCGCTGGCCTACAACAACACAGCACACATCATCTGAAGGCTGAGACAATGAAAGCATGTTGTTATGGTGTTGTTTAGTGTGTATGTTATGGTGTTGTTTAGTGTGTAAAGGCTCACCTTCCTCCTTCCTCTGCCAGGTCTGACTGACTCCATGTGGAGGTGGTTGTGCATCAGTTTCATCTGCTCCACACAGCTGTCTATCAAACCAGCTACACACAGACACCGAGACAGTGAGAGAGAGCGGTCAATCATAATAACAATAACTCCTAGGGTATAGCAGCCAGACCAGGGCTTGTTTGTTCACTGCCTCTTGTTGCATATAAGTACAGACCTCTTGGCAGAGGCTAGAGTATTATTCCCATCCTACTGTTAATGAGCTCTACTGGGCAGTGTGTTCCAGTACCTTTAGCAGCTTGGTTCTGACCAGTGTGTTCCAGTACCTTTAGCAGCTTGGTTCTGACCAGTGTGTTCCAGTACCTTTAGCAGCTTGGTTCTGACCAGTGTGTTCCAGTACCTTTAGCAGCGTGGTTCTGACCAGTGTGTTACAGTACCTTTAGCAGCTTGGTTCTGACCAGTGTGTTCCAGTACCTTTAGCAGAGTGGTTCTGACCAGTGTGTTCCAGTACCTTTAGCAGCTTGGTTCTGACCAGTGTGTTCCAGTACCTTTAGCAGCTTGGTTCTGACCAGTGTGTTCCAGTACCTTTAGCAGAGTGGTTCTGACCAGTGTGTTCCAGTACCTTTAGCAGTGTGGTTATGACCAGTGTGTTCCAGTACCTTTAGCAGTGTGGTTCTGACCAGTGTGTTCCAGTACCTTTAGCAGCATGGTTCTGACCAGTGTGTTCCAGTACCTTTAGCAGTGTGGTTATGACCAGTGTGTTCCAGTACCTTTAGCAGTGTGGTTCTGACCAGTGTGTTCCAGTACCTTTAGCAGCATGGTTCTGACCAGTGTGTTCCAGTACCTTTAGCAGCATGGTTCTGACCAGTGGGACTGCAGGCCAGTAAAGCCATGAGGGCTTTAGCTGTCTTCTTCTTCACTGGGTCCTGGAACGCACGCTTCTCAAAACTCTGACAACACAAGACAATGCAACAGGTGATGCAAAACGTGACCTACACTTTCACAGAGTATTGACAAAATGTTCATCCATCTAATATCCCAGTGCTCTAGACCAGGGGTAGGGAACCCTGTTCCTGGAGTGCAGCAGGTACTGCAGGACTTTGCTCCAACTAGGCACCACACCTGACCAACTGAGCTAATTGATCAGTTCAGTGATTGCCTAAATTCAACACACCTGGTGATCCAGGTCAGTTAAATCAAAAACATGAAGTGCCTGCAGCACTCCAGAAGCAGGGTTGCCTACCCCTGCTCTAGACCAATCAAAGTGTGTGTGTGTGTGTGTGTGCCTGCGCACGTGCAAGTCAGGTTCTGTTACCTCCAGCAATAGTTCACAGAGCTGTCCACCGGAGGCGCCGTTCAGGGCCTCAGACAGAGGGGTCAGATGGAGGTCCGGGTTCAGGGTGGTGACCTCTAAGGGTCGTCTCTTAGCCTCCTCAGATAGGATGACACACAGGAACTGTAGTGCCGCCGCATGGAGGGGAGGGTCACTGAACGACTGGTCCACACACACTGACAACGTGGCTGGAGGTAGGCACAGATACAGACGCAGATTAACACACACATTGGATGAGCACACACACACCCAGAGACACACAGTAAGATACCATGAGACAGAGGAAATGGGTTAGTGGATGTTTTACTTTTGTAGGAATTAATCAACATCCTGCAGCCCAGTAAAACCAAATCCTGAAATCCCTTTACACAGACAGCGTGACTCATTCACGCCTCAGGCATTTCTGCCTACATAACACACAATGTAATCAATCACAAATACACACACACACACAGCTCAGCATTAATCTTTCACAGGGATCATCAGATTTCCCTGCAGCCCCATTAGACACAGAGGAAGATGAGGAGGAACGATGGACGTACTGAATGCTCCCTGAGTTCCTAGCATATGTCCAACACACACACGTAGACACACCATTAGTAGCTGTGTGTGTATACCTGTGAATGTGTTCCAGCGTCTCCCCAGTGCAGCAGAGACAGATGGGTACGCTGCAGAGCCATCCCTCCTCACCACAGTAGCCAGAAGCATCAACACGTCTGTCCAGCAAACACACATCACACCACGGGTACCACCGTCTGAGGAGAGGTCCAGAGAACGAACACACACACACACACACACACACACACACACACACACACACACACACAGGAGATCGAGCTGAGAAGCTGAAGAGGCCTTCATTAAACAAGACACCAACAAAGGTGTGAATAGATCATTATGAGCTTCCATTGGGGATCTTAATACACTTTTAATTATGACTTCAGCTTCTGACAGAACACCACTTCATTATGATACATTCAGCTGGAAGGTGGCCTGACATTTAATGCCATGTAAGGCTGCCTGCCATAAGAATGGTAACCATGATGTCCAGTCAATGGCGACAGTACACATATGTTGTCTATGGTTAGGTCTGTTGAGAATCATACCTTTCCCAAAAGTGAGATTCTTACCTAAGTCCTTGGTATCGAGTGTGAGGACAGTGAAGAGATTGGCCAGTAGCGGTTTCAGGAAGTCCATCTGACCAATCAGATCTGAGCTCAGAATGAAACATGACTTAAGGAACTTAGAGAAGCTGGACAGGAACTGGAGCAGGGTCAGGACCTGGGGGACGAGAGACACAGACACACATCTTGAGGCAGTGTAGAGCAAAGATTAAAGCAATCAGTGGGTAGAAACAACATATTTCCAACCAAGTGAAAGCATGAAATCACCCCCTTCTTATCACTCTCCAATCTGCCACCATCTCAACCACAGGGTATAGGATTCTCATAGGCCCCAACCCTCCTACACAACCCGTGTTGGTAACACTACAACAACATGCTGTGGAGAGGTGTGATAATGTGAGTCTTACGTTGAAGCATTCATTGGTACTAAATGATGTAACCCCAGTTACCTGCCGTTTAATGTCCTCCTGGTCTCCTGGTAGTGTGTTAGTCTTCAGCTCACACAGACATCTCTCTATGGCTGCTGCGTCCACCAAACTAAAAAACAAAGGAAACAGAAACAGGGTTTAAATCCATCCCTTCAGACAGGACAATTTCAGCTCTGTATATAGTTTTGTGGATGCCCAATGCTCCAAAGATTGTATTTGATTTGGCTAGTAATCGGGATAGTGTGACTAATGCGATAGTGTGTATTTGACCTCTGACCTGGCCAGTGATTGGAGGAGCTGGCTGTGCGTGAGGGCTGAGAGGGTGAACTCTGGTAGCACGGCTAACAGGTTGGCCAGGAGGCCGCAGAGCGCTGATAAAAGGTCAGGGGTCACAATGACACAGGTGGGGTCAGGAGCGGGGTCACCCAGTCTGGAGTCCTGGGAGAGGACAGAGTCACTGGTGTCTGTGTCACTCTGACCTACAGAGTAAAATAGGGGAGCAGATATTAACATTGTTGTCTGTGTCACTGACCTACAACACAGGAAAGAGGAGCAAAGATGGACAGGACAGATAGGGGTCGAAGCATGTACCATACCATAAATCTGTGTGTGTAGAGGCATAGTTTTTATATATAAATGTACTGTCATGGTTGGTCTTGATATGAAGAACTGTGATTGAGATGGTTCCCTTAACTCTGACTCTTAATTGGTTAGGTGCTACCTGAGATCTGTATATAAAACCTGTTCACATTTAGCTACACTATATATACACAAAGACACACACACACACCTTGAGCCATCAGTCTGCTAGCGGGTGTATCTTGCGCAGTAGCGTTGAGGGAGGTGGGTACAGCGGATTGCAGCCCTGAGCCTCCAGGTATGATCTGTTGAAGACAAAAACATTCATCACAAACACTTCAATATGAGAATCTGATTACATCACAACAATTGTTTCTAGTGGTCAAGTGGACCCAGTCTTAAGCTGCAACCTAAGAGGAATACAGTCTATGAATGGGTCTTGAGCCACCAGACCTGCAGTATTCTACTCACCAGAGTGCTGGAGGTGGACAGGGAGCCAGAGGCCCTGCTAGGAATCACTGGGACAGGGTTAGGAGGTCTCCACAACCTCAGGGAGTCATCTGCATCTAAACACACAGACAGGGAGGGCATCATCACATAGAACCATCACTGATTGAAAAACCTCATGGCTAGACAGACTGACAGAAGTATGGACAGGTGCAGTCCCAGTACCTTCAGTGGTGCTGTCCTGTGGGCCGGGGTCCCTGGCTGAGGGCTGCAGGTCGAAGGTGTACCTGCCTCTGTAGCAGGATGTAGCCATCAATGCAGTGTGCTGGAAGAACTGACAGTGGTAGAGCAGGGCCTGTAGGGCTGGGAGACCCACCAGACATACACCTGAAGACTCATCATGGACACACGGACTCTATGGCGAGAGGGAGGAGAGAGTGAGAGATGAAAACATGGTATTTACTATGTAATTAACCTACAGTATGTCAATACCAGGATAACTAAGACAACATACCGCAACAAAACATAACCAAGTGCCACTGACCTGCCAGGTAGAGTCTGTGACCTGGTCAGCTGTGGCAGGCATGGGCATCACCAGTAGGTTCTGGAGGATAAACGCTGCCTTGAGAAACACACAGAGGATGAGACTAGAACATCAACAACACTGCCATCTAGATGCACTTAGACGGTACTGCAAGGACTTTTCTTTAAACTTGTTGATGGAGTAAAGTTTTCCTATGTCTGTTTTACAAATGCATTGTCTGAAACTGTTATTGGTCAATATGTCCAGAAGGTGCCAACATGGCTGCCGTGGCATGCTAAGAGTATTATAATGCATTCTGCTTTAAACCACAATGCCCAAACTCTCTATGGCTTAGTGGTTAGCGAACAGATGTAGGTGTCCAGTACCTCTCTGCGGACCATGGTGCTCTCCTGCTGGTCCAGGAGGATGTTGAGCAGGGTTCCCCACAGACCTCCACTGATATTCTGACAGCTGCTACTCAGAGACTGGCATCCACTGGGCACAGAGGACAGGGCAGAGCCCACACCCAGGCTGGCAAACCTCACCTGGAAAGGGGATGGAAGGAAAGTGGGAGAGAGGGCAGCAGGTGGTAGAGGGGTATGAGAGAGGAGGAGGGGAGGGTTAAAATAGTGGTGAGAGAGAGAGAGAGAGAGAGAGAGAGAGAGAGAGAGAGAGAGAGAGAGAGAGAGAGAGAGAGAGAGAGAGAGAGAGAGAGAGAGAGAGAGAGAGAGAGAGAGAGAGAGAGAGAATGCCAGAGAGAAAAAGACAGAGAGAAAAAGACAGAGAGAGCCAAGAGTTTGGGTGTGAATACAACAGCAGATAGATTTTTTTTAAAAAGGTACCTGTCTGACACCCCTGGTGTCCCCAAAGTCACAGAGACACTGTTCCAGAAATGTCTTGGTTATTTGCACCGTAACTCTGGCATTTGCTGTGATCCACAGAAAAAGATCCTCCTTGTCAAGGGAGTTTTTCACATTTACTTATAGAGAGAACTTACAGATAGAGAGAAAGAAAGAGAAGAAACTGCCCTTTGCTTTTCATCGTCAGCGCTTGTGAACTCAAGCATAGGAGTTCACAGTGTCCCTCAGAAAGTCTAGGAAGAAGCACTGGTGTAATAACAGAAACTTTGGAGCAGAGAGAAGCAATACGAACTTTTGCCTGAATGTCTCTCCACAATTCCAGACGGTATTTGTCAAACTGTTTCCATTCAATAATAACTTGTACTTCTTACTCTCCATTCTCTTTTTCTTGCTTGTTCTCATACAAGCTGACAGTCATTGAGTGTGTTACCTCCGGGTCTCTGTCCACCCACAGTGGTATGAGCCAGGCCAGACCCATCTGTGACCCACTGGGGTCATCAGACCCCGCCTCCTGACCCAAAGACCACTGGGAAATGAAGTCCTGAAATAGATAAACACAAAAACAGATATCCAGACTGATGCACAAACAAAAGGAGAAACATTTCCATGCAGGAAGCACACATTAACACATTCACTCATCTGTCTACTACTATACTGAACGCAAATATAAACACAACATGTTTCATGAGCTGAAATAAAAGATCCCAGAGATTTTCCACATGCACAAAAAGCTTATTTCTCTCAAATTTTGTGCACAAATTTGTTTACATCCCTGTTAGTGATAATTTCTGCTTTGCCAAGGTGTGGCATATCAAGAAGCTGATTAAACAGTATGATCATTACACAGGTGCACCTTGTAGGAATGTCCAACAGAGCTTTTGCCAGAGAATTGAATGTTAATTTCTCTATCATAAGTCGCCTCCAACGATGTTTTAGAGAATTTGGCAGTACGTCCAACCGGCCTCACAACCGCAGACCACGTGTAACCACGCCAGCCCAGGACCTCCACATCTGGCTTCTTCACCTGCGGGATCGGCTGAGGAGTATTTCTGTCTAATAAAGCCCATTTGTGAGGAAAAACTAATTCTGATTAGCTGGGCCTGCCTCCCCAGTGGGTGAGCCTGGCTCCCAAGTGGGTGGGCCTATGATCCATGGCTGCGCCCATTGCCCAGTCATGTCAAATCCATAAATTAGGGCCTAATGAAATTATTTCAATTGACTGATTTCCTTCCATGAACTGTAACTCAGTAAAACTTTGAAAATGTTGCATGTTGCGTTCATATTTCTGTTCAGTATACATTTCACAATGAAAAATCTTGTTTAATCTTTAGTGTAGAAATGCAATCAGTGCAGTTCTGGCTGGGTTGCTGACCTTGTCCTTGCTCTGGGCCATCATCTCGTGGGACATGTGAAGCAGACAGATGACAGCGTTCTTGGTGACTCCTTTCCCCATGAAGGACATGGAATTACCCCCCCACTCCACGTAGAATGACGAGATCACCTGGAAGATGACACAAGGTTCAACATTATAACTAATAATTCCCAACAGGGTTCTACGCTGAGCTTTTTTAAAAAGGGGCACGTGTGTGCCTAAGTTAAAAAATCTAGGCACACACATCGAAATTTAGGAGCACAGTGCTCCTAAATAAGAATTCCAGGTTGCACAGCAAAATATTTAGGCACATACGCGGCTAAAATGGTCGCACTGTAGAGCCCTGCCCAATACGAAACCCATTCAGAGCCGATGCTAGGGGAAGGACAACAATATCTCAACAGTATTACTAATTAAGTCAAATCAGGAAGTAAACAGATATTCCAATTCAAATTTTTACTCATGACCCAAACCCTGCTCGGGACTAGAAGGAAACAGGGCACTGAGGCCAGTGATGCACTCAACAGTCTGTTCATTAATTAAAATGTTTTATTCAGAGCATCTAAATGAGTCTTAAATGCAGCTGGGACCTTAGCTTTGATTAGCCTGCAAACAGAGAGGGGAGTGAGAGAGGCCAAGGCCAGATGAAGATCATCCTAAGAGCCATAGAGTACTGGGAGAGACATGGGGTGAGGGATGGGGGAGTCAAGGGTGAGGGAAACACAGGTGAGGGGTGGAGGAGACAGGGGGTGAGAGGCAAAAGCTTGGAATCATCTGTGCTAGGTTAGGTTGTACTGGACCATGCTAGGCGTATACTGTTGTGAGCTGTGCTGTTTTTTCAGACTGTCCCAGGCAATGCCAAACTAGGTTGTGCTGTGCTGTGTGTTCTAATGCTGAACTACGCTACACTGAGCACTACTTTGCTTATCTGAACAGGACAGTGCTCTGCTGTTCTTGGCTATGGGTAGAACCAGATGGAACCAGCTGGGATGATTTATCAACAATTTACTGCGTTGTAGTCTGTATATTTATTCATGTTCAGCAGCAGATTGTGGTTGGATTTAATTAATTCCAAAGGTATTGTCTTCCTCAATTTCTAGAGGGCTGATATTTCACTACAAATAACTAATTTCACAGGTAATTTTCACTTTGACAAATGTGTGGGGGCCGCAGACTCCTTCTGGCCCAAGCGGCAAGGAGAGAAGCTTTGGGGAGCACATCACACACCCCCTCCACTCCCGCACCCAACACACACCTCCAGTAGTCCGCTGAGGTACTTGGTGCAGAGAGACTGGGGCTCCATGGTGGGACAGTGTGAGCTCCAGCCGGGCTGGGCCGTGAGGCTGACCATGCCCAGAAGATTCCTCTCCAGACTGGGGAGGCCGTAGAACCGTGGGGCATCTGACACCCGCAGGCACTGGAGCAACCGCACTGCCAGCTGGCTCTCGAAGGGCCCCGCCAACGCCAAGCAAAACCTGGTGGGGGAGAGAGAGAGGAGATGCCGGGAGGGGGAGGAGATGCCGGGAGGGAGAGCAGATGCAGGGAGGGGGAGGAGATGCAGGGAGGGAGAGGAGATGCAGGGAGGGAGAGGAGATGCAGGGAGGGAGAGGAGATGCCGGGAGGGAGAGGAGATGCCGGGAGGGGGAGGAGATGCCGGGAGGGAGAGGAGATGCAGGGAGGGAGAGGAGATGCCGGGTGGGATAGGAGATGCCGGGAGGGAGAGGAGATGCCGGGAGGGAGAGGAGATGCCGGGAGGGAGAGGAGATGCCGGGTGGGAGAGGAGATGCCGGGAGGGAGAGGAGATGCCGGGAGGGAGAGGAGATGCCGGGTGGGAGAGGAGATGCAGGGAGGGAGAGGAGATGCAGGGAGGGAGAGGAGATGCAGGGAGGGAGAGGAGATGCAGGGAGGGAGAGGAGATGCCGGGAGGGAGAGGAAGGAGGAAAAAGAGGAGTAAAGAGGGGAAAACAGACAAAGAAAGAGGGAAGGAGAGAGAGAGGAGTGAAAGTGAAGGGGAGGAAGAGTGTGTGATAGGGGAAGGTGGGCAGAGACAAATATTGCCATCTATAATCAGACTAACATCAAGGAAAACGTTAAGCTCCTTCTATTACTGAGAGTAACATGTTCTTAGCCTCATGGATACGGATATGAATATCACCACACAGAACATAAAAAATGCATCCCACTGTAGTCATAAGCTTTGTTCAGCCTCTTCTATAATTTCATGGTATTAAACATTAATCAAGCCCCACAGGCAGTGTGAATAATACCACATGTGCACATTCACACACACACCAAAAGGCAAAAATTATAATTCTTTAATTCATGTTTTATGAAGAGACTTTTTAATTCTACTGTCAGGGGAAGCTCGCTAGCTAGTGGTGAAATGTCATTGGTGCTGCTTCCATGGCCCTAAGCACTTCTGACTGAGGAAGATGAGAAGAATACAGTAGTTTAACAGCAATGTGATAAAACACACTTGTGTAATCATTTATCAGTATAGCTCACCACGCTAGGATGAGCTATTTCTATACAACAGTTAAAGCAGCAGTCATGACAAACGCAGTTTGTTCAGTCAGAAACACTAAAAATGAATGACTGTGGGGGAGATGTCTACCCTGTTTGTCTTCGTGTTGTAGGTGTATTTCGGCGTGTGTGTGTATGATAAGTAGAGAATGCCTACAGGCAGTTTTCTTCAGCGATACGGAACAGGCTTTGCATACAAATGACTCCATACTCTCACAAATAAACACCAGAGGTACAGAGGCTGGCAATTGGAGGTGGTAGCCTTATCAGTTAGAGAGAAAAAGAGAGAGAGGGGGAGTGTGTGTGTGTGTGTGTGTGTTTTTTTACCGTACCTGTCGGTGGTGTGTTTGAGGCGGTGCAGTAAAGTGTTCATGAACCCAGTCAGTTCTCTCTGTAGTCTCTGGTTGATCTGGGCCCTCAGTTCCTCTGTCTCTCCCTGACTCGCAGGGTGTGTCGGAGTGTGTGTCTGCAACTCCTCGCCGAGCAGCAGGTCCAGCAGTGAGTTGGTCTCCTGTATGGAACAACACATACAGTGAGGGAAAAATGTATTGGATCCCCTGCTGATTTTGTACTTTTGCCCACTGACAAACACATGATCAGTCTATAATTTTAATGGTAGGTTTATTTGAACAGTGAGAGACAAAATAACAACAAAAACATCCAGAAAAACGCATGTCAAAAATGTTATAAATTGATTTGCATTTTAATGAGGGAAATAAGTATTTGACCCTTCTGCAAAACATGACTTAGTACTTGGTGGCAAGACCCTTGTTGGCAATCACAGAGGTCAGACGTTTCTTGTAGTTGGCCACCAGGTTTGCACACATCTCAGGAGGGATTTTGTTCCACTCCTCTTTGCAGATCTTCTCCAAGTCATTAAAGGTTTCGAGGCTGACGTTTGGCAACTCGAACCTTCAGCTCCCTCCACAGATTTTCTATGGGATTAATGTCTGGAGACTGGCTAGGTCACTCCAGGACCTTAATGTGCTTCTTCTTGAGCCACTCCTTTGATGCCTTGGCCATGTGTTTTGGGTCATTGTCATGCTGGAATACCCATCCACGACCCATTTTCAATGCCCTGGCTGAGGGAAGATTTGACGGTACATGGCTCAATTTTGGTCTCATCTGACCACAACACTTTCACCCAGTTCTCCTCTGAATCATTCAGATGTTGATTGGCAAACTTCAGATGGGCCTGTATATGTGCTTTCTTGAGCAGGGGGACCTTGCGGGCGCTGCAGGATTTAAGTCCTTCACGGCGTAGTGTGTTACCAATTGTTTTCTTGGTGACTATGGTCCCAGCTGCCTTGATATCATTGACAAGATCCTCCCATGTAGTTCTGGGCTGATTCCTCACCGTTCTCATGATCATTGCAACTCCACGAGGTGAGATCTTGCATGGAGCCCCAGGCCGAGGGAAATTGACAGTTATTTTGTATTTCTTCCATTTGCGAATAATCGCACCAACTGTTGTCACCTTCTTACCAAGCTGCTTGGCGATGGTCTTGTAGCCCATTCCAGCCTTGTGTAGGTCTACAATCTTGTCCCTGACATCCTTGGAGAGCTCTTTGGTCTTGGCCATGGTGGAGAGTTTGGAATCTGATTGATTGATTGCTTTTGTGGACAGGTGTCTTTTATACAGGTAACAAGCTGAGATTAGGAGCACTCCCTTTAAGAGTGTGCTCCTAATCTCAGCTCGTTACCTGTATAAAAGACACCTGGGAGCCAGACATCTTTCTGATTGAGAGGGGGTCAAATACTTATTTCCCTCATTAAAATGCAAATCAATTTATAACATATTTGACATGCGTTTTTCTGGATTTTTTTGTTATTCTGTCTCTCACTGTTCAAATAAACCTACCATTAAAATTATAGACTGATCATTTCTTTGTCAGTGGGCAAACGTACAAAATCAGCAGGGGATCAAATACTTTTTTCCCCTCACTGTACATACACACACAACTAATGCTGCAGGTTGAACTGTGTGTCTCACTACTTCATCTAAGAAAAGATCATTGACATCAGCTCAACTTGTATCCAACCCCTCACTCATTATGTACGACACTACTAACTACAATCTAAACTGCACTGAACAAAAATATAAACGCAACATTTAAAGTGTTGGTCCCATGTTTAATGAGCTGAAATAAAGGATCCCAGGAATGTTCCAAATGCACAAAAAGCTTATTTCTTTCAAATGTTGTGCACAAATTTGTTTATATCCCTGTTAGTGAGCATTTCTCCTTTGCCAAGATAATCCATCCACCTGACAGGTGTGGCATATCAAGAAGCTGATTAAACAACATTATCATTACACAGGTGCACCTTGTGCTGGAGACCACTAAAATGTGCAGTTTTGTCACACAACACAATGCCACAGATGTCTCAAGATTTTAAGGAGCGTGCAATTGGCATGCTGACTGCAGGAATGTCCAACATAGCTGTTGCCAGATAATTGAAGGTTCATTTCTCTACCATAAGCCCCCTCCAACGTCATTTTAAAGAATTTGGCAGTACGTCCAACCGGCCTCACAACCGCAGACCACATGTAACCACACCAGCCTAGGACCTCCACATCTGGCTTCGTCACCTGCGGGATCGTATGAGACCAGCCACCCAGACAGCTGATGAAACTGAGTAGTATTTCTGTCTGTAATAAAGCCCTTTTGTTGGGAAAAACTCATTCCGATTGGCTGGGCCTGGCTCCCAAGTGGGTGGGCCTATGCCCTCCCAGGCCCACCCATGGCTGCACCCCCGCCCAATCATGTGAAATCCATAGATTAGGGCGTAATTTATTTATTTAAATTGACTGATTTCCTTATATGAACTGTAACTCATTAAAATTGTTGAATGTTGCTATATTTTGGTTCAGTATAAATAATGTATTCAGAATGAATATGTATCCTTTTCTCATTGAGTTTTATCGTAATAGGTGCAGGGTTATTGCAGGTATACAGCGGTTGCAGAGAAACTCAAGTAATTCAAGGTTATTCAGATTCACCAGAGACAGGACACCACACACACACTGCGTTCACAAAAACACACACACACAACCCCGCAAGCCATTCTCCATTCTATTCCAGCCTTCTTCAGCAGCCAAGGGAAGTCTTAATGTTTACACACACTGATGAACTAGGGATTGGCATGAGAACTCGAACTGACGTCAAAACTCCATCTTTAACAAGAAAATATACAATTGAAGTCAGAAGTTTACATACACCTTAGCCAAATACAGTGGGGGAAAAAAGTATTTAGTCAGCCACCAATTGTGCAAGTTCTCCCACTTAAAAAGATGAGAGAGGCCTGTAATTTTCATCATAGGTACACGTCAACTATGACAGGCAAAATGAGAAAAAATAATCCAGAAAATCACATTGTAGGATTTTTAATGAATTTATTTGCAAATGATGGTGGAAAATAAGTATTTGGTCAATAACAAAAGTTTCTCAATACTTTGTTATATACCCTTTGTTGGCAATGACACAGGTCAAACGTTTTCTGTAAGTCTTCACAAGGTTTTCACACACTGTTTCTGGTATTTTGGCCCATTCCTCCATGCAGATCTCCTCTAGAGCAGTGATGTTTTGAGGCTGTCGCTGGGCAACACGGACTTTCAACTCCCTCCAAAGATTTTCTATGGGGTTGAGATCTGGAGACTGGCTAGGCCACTCCAGGACCTTGAAATGCTTCTTATGAAGCCACTCCTTCGTTGCCCGGGCGGTGTGTTTGGGATCATTGTCATGCTGAAAGACTCAGCCACATTTCATCTTCAATGCCCTTGCTGATGGAAGGAGGTTTTCACTCAAAATTTCACGATACATGGCCCCATTCATTCTTTCCTTTACACGGATCAGTCGTCCTGGTCCCTTTGCAGAAAAACAGCCCCAAAGCATGATGTTTCCACCCCAATGCTTCACAGTAGGTATGGTGTTCTTTGGATGCAACTCAGCATTCTTTGTCCTCCAAACATGACGAGTTGAGTTTTTACCAAAAAGTTATATTTTGGTTTCATCTGACCATATGACATTCTCCCAATCCTCTTCTGGATCATCCAAATGCACTTCAGACAGGCCTGGACATGTACTGGCTTAAGCAGGGGGACACGTCTTGCACTGCAGGATTTGAGTCCCTGGCGGCGTAGTGTGTTACTGATGGTAGGCTTTGTTACTTTGGTCCCAGCTCTCTGCAGGTCATTCACTAGGTCCCCCCGTGTGGTTCTGGGATTTTTGCTCACCGTTCTTGTGATCATTTTGACCCCACGGGGTGAGATCTTGCGTGGAGCCCCAGATCGAGGGAGATTATCAGTGGTCTTGTATGTCTTCCATTTCCTAATAATTGCTCCCACAGTTGATTTCTTCAAACCAAGCTGCTTACCTATTGCAGATTCAGTCTTCCCAGCCTGGTGCAGGTCTACAATTTTGTTTCTGGTGTCCTTTGACAGCTCTTTGGTCTTGGCCATAGTGGAGTTTGGAGTGTGACTGTTTGAGGTTGTGGACAGGTGTCTTTTATACTGATAACAAGTTCAAACAGGTGCCATTAATACAGGTAACGAGTGGAGGACAGAGGAGCCTCTTAAAGAAGAAGTTACAGGTCTGTGAGAGCCAGAAATCTTGCTTGTTTGTAGGTGACCAAATACTTATTTTCCACCATAATTTGCAAATAAATTCATAAAAAATCCTACGATGTGATTTTCTGGATTTTTTTCCCTCAATTTGTCTGTCATAGTTGACGTGTACCTATGATGAAAATTACAGGCATCTCTCATCTTTTTAAGTGGGAGAACTTGCACAATTGGTGGCTGACTAAATACTTTTTTTCCCCACTGTACATTTAAACTCAGTTTTTCACAATTCCTGATATTTAATCCTAGTAAAAATTACCCGTCTTAGGTCAGTTAGGATCACCACTTTATTTTAAGAATGTGAAATATCAGAATAATAGTACAGAGAATGATTTATTTTAGCTTTTATTTATTTCATCACATTCCCAGTGGGTCAGAAGTTTACATACACTGAATTAGTATTTGGTAGCATTGCCTTTAAATTGTTTAACTTGGGTCAAACGTTTCGGGTAGCCTTCCACAAGCTTCCCACAATAAGTTGGGTGAATTTTGAACCATTCCTCCTGACAGAGCTGGTGTAACTGAGTCAGGTTTGTAGGCCTCCTTGCTCGCACACACTTTTTCAGTTCTGCCCACAAATTTTCTATAGGATTGAGGTCAGGGCTTTGTGATGGCCACTCCAATACCTTGACTTTGTTGTCCTTAAACCATTTTGCCACAACTTTGGAAGTATGCTTGGGGTCATTGTCCATTTGGAAGACCCATTTGCGACCAAGCTTTAACTTCCTGACTGATGTCTTGAGATGTTGCTTCAATATATCCACATAATCTTCCTTCCTCATGATGCCATCTATTTTGTGAAGTGCACCAGTCCC